CTGTAGGCCACATCAAAATAATCAACAATTGTGAAGAGCAATTTCAGAAGAAAAGACAGATCTTGATCTCAATTGTCCTGGGAGATTTGGAAACAAAACCAGCTGGTAATAACTTGAGAAAGAATTTCAAGTAATAAATTTAGAAAACTTGGTGTTGTTTAAGAAATATTTATGTAGAGAAATAGCAATTCATCTATGTTTATTGTTCACTTCTGAAGAAACTGCTGCAGTTCATTGTTATTGTCTGTCTTTGGTACTTTTTCATTACTTTCTTATGTTCTTTTAATCCTGGATTGGTAGAGCACTAAGATTCCACTTAGTCAAAACTTTTGCCATCCTATCCTCCTCCTGAATTTCTGAGTAGAATTAGGCAGTACGTCAGGCACAGAAAATGTTGCTGAAATGGAATTTGGAAAATGCTGCAGAGATCATAAAATCAGACCCAATTTAAATAATAATTCATACTGGAAACAAATACAGTGGAAAAGTATCTTCACCCATGTTTAATTTTTAAATGAAGCTCAGGAATATTAACTTTGGTTTGTTACAGGTATTCAGTCAAGATGGATCTTCCATCCATTCAATAAAAAGAACACAGACAAAGTGGAATGGAATAGTTTGTTTTTTTTTTTTGTATTGATATGAAATGTGTTTTGGAGTTTTCATTTAATTCTAAAGAGAACTGTATCAGCTTGACTCTGACATTTATTTATTTATTCATTGCCTTAATTACTTAATAAGGACTTGCACAGCCCTCCTAAATGGACACTTTTCTGTCCCTCAGCCATTGAACTTGGTGTGATCTGAAGTTAAAATTATTCACATATTTCTGGTGTTACTATGTCATGATTAATATTCTACTTCCTGCAATTGCTGTGCACTTAATAAGATTCTTTTATACCTTTATGAAGTTACTCTTTTGCCACCTAATTTTCTAGTGCACCATGCATTCCCAGTGGTTTTTTCCTCTGATGTTTATTTCTCAGCTCTCAAATCCTACTACAGTTTCTTACCTGTTGGTTTTTGAACTGCTTGTGGAACTGTTGTCACACATTAATAATCAGTAGCTTGCAAAAAAATCTGCATCTTGTGAACAATAAACTGGTCTAAGGGTGATTAAGAGGATTATTCTGGTGCAATTTTGTCTCTGTGGATTAACAAACAAGACAAACAAGCAAATGATGCTAAGTAAATCTAAAAAACACAGAGAAAATAGAGCAATCATCTGTTTTGCTGGATCTGCCTTCTACCCCACTCATATCTCTTACAAATTCACTCATCTGGTATTTCGTTGGATTTTTGGTTTGGTTTCTTTTCTGCATATGAAATTTTAACTTAAAAATATTGGTAGATCTGGAAAATTTGTTTTTCCCTTTTGACATACTTTTGAAAAAAATTGTGAATCAGCTGTCATTCCTTTGTACTGTTTTTCTTGTAAATCCAATTAGCGTTGAAAAATCTCATCTCTCTTCTGTTGTGATTTGTATATTCATAGATGGTATGGTGTCATATCAGCAGAAGACTTTCAGACAATGATGAATGGAAAAATTCACATGTCTGGTTGTAAAAGAATGGTTGTAAAAGAAAATCCTAATGTTATCTGCTGTTTACATCTAAGAGGTTAGAATTTGAAAAACTGAAAAATTATTAGTGGAAGAAGGTGGCTGGATAAACTGTGGCATGGAGACTTTTTCTTTTTCTTTTTTTTTTTAGGGAATACGTGCCTACACTGATAACACATTGGCATACATACAAAGACACAGACTGTGATAAAATAATTCCTTGTACAATTTTACTAACATCAGTACTGTAAAGCAGGATAAGAACTACTCTTTGTCACATCATTCAGGCAGTGGAATTTTTGGCTCCCAAGTTGTTTCTCTGCACAAATGTACTGCACTGGAGATATAATTTTGTCTTTTTCTACTCTGTAGACAAGCCTTGTGTGCTACTGATACCTGAAAACTTTAGCACTTTCTTCCTGACAAAAGAAGAGGTGATGTCAATCTTGTTCTCGGTGGTCACTGTGTCCACTAAATAAATAAGCTGAATGACTAGCCAATAGTCAAAAACTCTAAATGAAAGTTAAGGATGGGCAAAGCATGGAGTCACGTCTTTTTCTCAGTATAACTCTTCTGATTTAGGGCAAATTGATGATGATTCCATCATTGCTGCTGCTTGTGCTTATCTCCAAAAGAAAAATAGAGGAATTCAAGGGAAATAATGTTGTAAAACATCAAGTGATACAGAATACTTTTATTCCATTTAGGCTTTTAGACTTCTGAGAGTGTGTAGTTCAATTCATTGCATGCGGGGCTTCTTCCTTATTCTCATGGATTTATCAGAGATTTCTTCTACGTTTTCTCACAAGTCACTTTCACTTGAATATCTGGGATTGTTCTTGCCAGACTGTTCTGAGAAGCACCTTTTAGTTTAGGATGGGTAGTTCAGCAGTCCTCATAGCCTGATCTGTACCCTTGCACCAGATCTAGGTGTTTTGGTATGAAAAGACACAAAATGGTAGCTAGTTCAGTTTTCATTGTGTAATTATATACCTACCTAACTTCTGTTACATAAACATCTAAGTCTCTTAAATTTCTGCTAATTGAAGTTCCAATGTTTTGATACTTAAAGTTCATGACAGCCAAAGCTCATGGTGTCTTTCTACGTAGTGATATGTATAAACATCTTTGTAGATTTCCCTATTATATTGCAATAGGAGAACCAAGTGCAAGAAACACCGTGCCAGACATTTTTATTTTGTTTCCAACTCCTTTAACACTGGCACAGCTCTGACAAGTTTAAAAAAAGCATTTTGAGCATTGGAATGCAAATTAACATACCAAGCAATTAAAGTCAATTAAAACAGGATGTGGTGTAATTAGAAACAGTTGTGTTCACATTTATATTCAGAGAGGTTTGATGTGTTGAAAGAAAAGAAAATGATTTAGGAAACTTTTAATGCCTACAGATGTGATGATGATAATAATAATAATGACATTTGATTTCTAAAATGCCTCATCCTCCTTAATTTCATGAGCTCTTGAGAAGCATAATAAAACAAGCACAGTGACAAATGATACACTGGACACAGTGGAATGAAATACATCAACAAATAGGGATGCTCAAACACTAGCTACAAGCAGTGGCCTCCCTCCCCTCTCAGCACACTGTACGTACCTGTTGCAGTAGCAAAGAAGCTAGCAGCCTAGTTATCTCCATGTGCACTAAGACCAGCAATTGACCAGCAATGTCAGTTAGCTTAGGAAGGCTGTATCTTTCCCACATGTACTTCCTTGATATCTCATTTATTGTTTTGAATATTTATATTAGCATTTATTGCCAGAAATACTGAACCAATTTTCCTCTCTATTGTCCTTTTTCAGTATTGTAGCCAGAAAGGAAGGGAATCCCCACTCCATTCAATATAGGACTCAGATCAGGACATGTTCATTCTGTTTCTTCTCATTAACCCATGTTCCATTTTCATTTGGAACCTTGCTATGGAGGCGAGTCTCTTTGAGACGATCTCTATTTGAACTCAGTCATAGTCGTTTGCATTTTCACTAAGTCAATAATAATAGAAGAAAGTACTGGGATAAATCTTTCCATTTGACCTGTGAATTAATCAGTTCAGAATTATGCACTTTATAGGTTTATAATGGTTGGTTTGATTTCCTGGGAAAATAATGATTTGTATTTTCAAAAAGGATAGGGGACCTGAAAGATATGTAGGTACTTATCTCCTGTTAAGGCCAGGAAGAATGAGGTATCTAAGTATGACTTGGGCAGATGGACACATTCAAAGATCTGCTGTGTGTTTTCAACTTCTTCTTTTCTGCCTGTGCCACATGAGGCACATGTGACAAGATTTCATAGTTGGGATTATGTACTCAACGTGGCTTGAAAATCAAAATTCCATTCATTTGTCATGAAAATGTGTTTGTCCTGTCATGGGTTGTCTGATGTAACTTTTTCATTATCATAGGCATGAAACAGTTAATGAAATTCTGAATTTAAAATATCTGTTTTTGAGGGCTATACAAGCCATACCTTTTTACCAAATGTTGTTCCCTATTCTTGCAGCTTAATTCATTCTGATTTGTGCAAGTCGGATACATTAAAGCATCATCTTATGTTAGGGTATATTAGTGCAGGTAGAAATAGTTACAGAGAATTAAGTTTAAGATACAGTACTTCTTAGAAGAAATATATTTGTAGTGATGTGGAATCAGTCATTTAATCCAACTCCAGATTTGAATAGCTATATTTGGCTCTCAGCTATGTGACTGTATAATTAGAGAAATTCTGCTCATTTTTTCTTTGGAAAATATGACTTCTCACAGGTTTCCAGAAACGTTCAGTTGTTTCCCATCTACTAACGAACACTGATTTCTGAAAAAAATCTGACCATATAAGTAAAAATAAAAATTACTGGGTTTCAGCACTTCCTTAGAATGCCTCATTTGATAAGGGTAACAGAGCAGATCTCAAAAGGATATACGTAGTATTCATGTATGTTTATGAGAAGTTCATTCCTCAAGCATGGACTTGCAAGCAAGGCAGTCGTATGACATATCAGTTTAGTAATTACTAGGTGGCTGAGAGTTCATTGTATGTGTTGTTATATACTCCATATAAGATAACACAATGAATTACTTGTGATTATGAATCAGTGTCCCTCTACCAGTGTTTGGAGTAGTAGTTGTATAGATATGTGTACACCACAGTATATAATACAGCCAACTGTCACTAAGCAAGAGTAAATATTGGATTTAGAAACTAAACAGTTTTTATAAAACATATTGACCTTTCCTGCAAGTTGTAAATTATTTAAAAGGGAATATGGTGGAAGGACAAAATTCATCTGTGTGAACAAAGGCATCAAAAGCCACTTCCAGAAATAATTTAGGTTTTTAAAAATCTAATTGAAAAATAGATGATGCACTTTATTGCACTTGGAAGAAAATGACTTTCTAATGTTTGCTTGTTTTTCCTAGGTTGTATATGTAACAGCCACATTCCCCTATATCATGCTGATGATTCTTCTGATTCGAGGGGTAACGTTGCCAGGTGCTTCCGAAGGGATAAAATTCTATTTGTATCCTGACATTTCCCGACTGTCTGACCCACAGGTAGGACCATGGTCCGTGCATTTACTTTCTTCTTTGTCTGGGAAAAACTGCAAAAGTTTATTGATATTAAAATCTGAAGGCAGGTGATTCCTGGGTAGATGTTTATTGGTGGAGATTTGGAGTTGTGGATAGAGATTTAAAGCTATCACTGCTTACATGTGTTGGAGGCAAGAGTGTTGCTATTGGTTTCATCAGGAACAAATGTGACTGTAAATTAGCCATTTCAGAGCTGTACCTTTCTGTGCTCATTCCAAAGCTAAATCTCAGTCAAGAGTGATATAGAATTAAGTCATTCAGATCATTATTGCCATTGAAGAAGTCATCTCTATATACCATGAAGAGATAAAGGTCCAGCAAGACAGTCAAAGCATTAACTCTTTTCAGGTATTTCCAGAGTGGAGTTGAACATGAAAATACTGGCTTAAGTTGATTTTTTTTTTTTTTAAATGATGGATTACTACAATAAAATAATTAATAATGTATTGTTTCTGTGATATCAAAGCAGGAAAATGCTACAAGCTCTGTAATAGCTAACAGATTGTGAACAGTGTTTTACTTATCTGGTTTGGTGTTGCAAGACATTAGACATTGATACTACTTAGTAAAAGAGGTTATTTTTGTTTGTTTGTTTGTTTTTTCTCCTCAAAGATGAACCAAACAGAAAACAGTAGGGGAAAAAAAATAATTTAAAATACAGAAATTTCAGTGACAGTTTAATCTTGTAGAAATGCCATTCAGCCTAAAAGCAGCAACTGTTCTGTACCTGCCTAGATGAGAGGTAAAAGAACAGTTGTGGAAGTGGAGTTAGGAACCAGTGATGTGCTATGGCTTCCTAACATCTGGTCTTAGCCTTGAATACAGGTATCCTCAGTGCACCTGAGAAATTAGCACAGTGAGAGAGAAAAAAAAAAAGCAGAATTCCTCGATGTACTTCCAATCATTTGTTTGCAATACTTAGCAGACACATACCTTGGTAAATTCACCAAGCCAGCCCCATTTCAAGTTAACTCTGTATGTCATAACTTAGCAGAAACGTGAAATGTCTGTAATATGCTTATCTGAGCACATGGATGGCATGCATTTATTATGTTCAACTTTAACTAGCGTTTCACTTTGTTGTGTGGTTCTGACAACTAAAGTTACCCACAGTCTTAGCACAAAGTGACAAGTACTCGTTTCTTGTACGTGTTCTTCCTCCTGTGATGTCTGTTGACCTCATGTGAGCAGGAGGTAGACGACTTAAATTTTGCTTCCTTCATTTGTCCACTGGCACACAAGAGGCTTTTTAACAGGATTTTGCCTCTGTGGATTTTCCGCGTGCAACCAACACCCTTGCTGCTGTTTGTCATTGAAGGAGGGCATGCAAGCTTAAACAACATTATTGTCAGTTTACAAGGGGGTTTTTATATGCCTATTTACTATACTGTTTCCATTTGTAAAGAAGTACGTTGTTGCCATGACATTTTCCAAAGCAATTAGTATTACCCAAGAGTCTGAGAAGCACAAAGCCAATGTGCATCCATCTGTCCGTCCAGCACATACGGCTCAGCTGATACTAGAGTGTCTTTAAAGAAGGCTTAATGTTTTGGTTTAACAAGCCAATATTTTTTTTTTTCTCTGTTTCAATGTGATTTTATCTAATAAACTTCCAGGCTTAGCAGACTTCAGTATTCAAAAGATTAATCTCTTTTTGTGGGAAAGAAGATGAAATAGGATAAGCTCCATAGTTCACTACAGAGATTATTAGCAATAATGTAGATGGCTTAATTGTAGCACAGGTGGTGAAGTGGTTTTAGAGCATGAGTTTTATATTGAAAAAAAGGGTATTTTATTGAAGTTGAGCTTTGTTTAGACAAATCAGCTCTGGCAGAATCTTTGAAGAAAGATTTCTGGGTTATGGATGGTGTCCTTGGCATCTCAATTGTAAAACTAGAACATATATTTTTAACATTTTCTTGCAAAGCAGAACATGGTAATGTTTAAAACCATGATTTTTTTGCATTAAAAAAAAAAAAAAAATAGAAAAAAAGGTCCCAAAACATTTCCACAAGCCACTTCTGAATTTGTTCTAGAAGTTTTTGTCAAAGAGGAACTGAAGACAGCTGAACTAACCATAGTATTTGTGTTTTCAGTTTTTATCTTCACTCCTTGCTTGTTTGGATTTACTCCACAGTATCAAAGCAGAGTGCATGTGTACCAGCAGACGTTGTTTTTCTCTTTGCTTAGAGGTCTGTTTAAATGATGTTCCAAGAAGACTGTGTTTCTGTATTAGGAGATCAGTATTTGAACCACAGTGCCAGCTATGTTTACTGTGGATTGAGTTTCTCATCAAAGCTTGCTTTAGTCTGAAGTTCTTGAATCTTTTGTTTTTGTGTAATTTGCATTCCATGGTTTGTTATAGCTTTCTAAGCAGCTATTCATCTGTCTTTTCAGTTTCTCTTAGAGAACACAGCATTTGAAAACTATTTCATTTTTATGTTTTCATCAGACTGGGCCCTCATGGTCTGAAAATCCCATGGTCTGTCCTGAGTATCTGCAGAGCTCATACTGATCACTTTCTATGATAATAGTAGAGTAACATATTCAAGTTTCAGTGATGCTTTATTTCATCAGCACTAAGGTCTCTATAGCCCCCATGTTTAAATTGGCTTGAAATGTGCTCCTTTATCTCCAACCTGAAAGACATAGATGCTGTTTATAGGTTAAACAAGGGGTCCTTCCTGAGCTCTAAATTGCACAAAATAAATATTCTGAAAAGTTAACAGGATTATTATGCTTCTTATGTGCAAGTCTGACTCAGAGTGTGGTTCTAGTTACCTCTCAACAGATGTAAGTCACTTAATATGTAGTTGTGAGTGGTATTCCCTGTTCCTTTCTGCAGGAAAAAGTTTGATTCCCTGTAATGAGATTTTCCTAATATTTATACGCTGAAGAGATTTTAAATTCTTTGTTAGGGACTAGCAGACAAAACAATTTGCTGGATCACAATCTAAAATGCCAGAAACATTTCTACAATGCACATCTAGCAGCTCAGCTACGAGAGTTCAGCTATTAGGCAGCCTTGACTTTATGGAGCTTCTAGGTGTTTTCTGCCCCTCTGTCTTCTCTGATTCGTGTCCAATTTGTTGCTCTACAAAAGCACCAGATCCTTTTCAGTTCTCAAGTCTGTGTGACAGATGATTCTGTCCCAGGTGAAGGACTTTGAATTTGCTTTTTTGTATTAATGAGGTTCCTGGCTCCTATTTTACTAGCTTTTTGATATCTCTCTGAATCTCAGCCCTGCCTTCCAGACTGTAGATCTATCTCCAAAGCTTACGAGTAGTATCATCCAACAACTTGTTGAGAGAGCACTCTATCCTTTCAACCAAGTCACCAAAAGAAAACGTTGATATTAAGTCCAGTGCTGGTTGTTCAGAGACATCAGTGCCCCATCCCTGGAGGTGCTCAAGGCAAGGCTGATTGGGGATTTGGGCAGCCTGATCTAATATAAGGTGTCCCTGCCTATGGCTCTGGCTGTTCTCATGCTCTGTGTGAGGAAAAAAAATGTACTAAATTGGATATAAGTTGCAGAGAAAATGTGTTCTTTCAGTAGACATCTGCTTAGAGTGAATGCAAGTTAAAATGTTATTTTTGACTGAAAATTTTACTTTTCTTTAAAAGCTCCTTGATTTTCTTGTTAGTATAAGTTTATTTTTCTAGTTATTACTTTTTTTTTTTTGGCATGGACCAGCAATTATTTTCTTTTAATTGTAATCCATCACAGCTGTTAACAATTCCTGTTAATATAGGGTATGCAAGGGCGCGTGAGCGATGTGAGACACCAGTACAGAGGTGGTATTTCATTCAGCCCTGTTCTATTTAAACTGGAAAAATATGAAGGAATTTATCTTTCCTGGACTTCTGATGTCCATGTGCAGTTCTCTGTGATGAGAACATCAGTAGTAACGCCATTCTGATTCATTGCCAAAGAGTCTCTTTTTAGCAGAAATGTAAACGACTGAAATTAATTCCCCTCACTCCCCTGCTAGTCCATGCAGCCTTGAAAGCCACTATCACAATCGCATCGCCATCTTGAGGCCAAATGAAGCCTAAGTTTCTGAAGGCAGAAAATAAAAATCTCATAGCCTCATAAGTGGAGGCAACTGTTTTACCTAATCAGAAGCCTTAAGGCTTTCTTTCTACTTCACAAAATTTAGAAGAAACAAAAAACCCCAGTATGTTGGCAATGAAATGATGTCTCATATCTGGATGAGTGTTTTGATACTTCTGTTTGTTTGAAATGTTACAAGTGAGAAACCTAATTCTAACGAGGAACATACTGAACAGAATGCATTTTCAGTAGATTACAATCAGCCTGGTTTTTAAGTATGGTACATAGAAAAAAGGTTCAGCAGCAGATCACCTGCCTGAAATCGTACCAACCTTATCAATAAGTCTAGTAATACCTTCAGCAATTTACTGCACTTTTCACTCTTTCAAGTATTCATGCAGACATTTAGTTCAAAGAATTAGTTGGGGAAAAAAAACAAACAATAGGAATGAAAAGAAGAGGAATTCAGTTCCCATCAAATCTATGCAGTTCTGATAAAAGCTCCGTAATCTTTTTTCCCCTGCCATTTCCCCCCCATTCTCTGTATTGTTTACATCACTAGGCATTCACTTTCCAAATCAGACAGTTATGATGCACACAGCTGTGAGCTGTTGTGAATGTAAAAAAGAGGAGTGAATGCCAGAAGGCTGTACAAGGGCCATAGGTATGAAAATCCTGAGCTGAATTTCTTGTGTATGTAACTCCAACTCTAATGTGTATTTTTGAACGAGCAGTGTTGTTTATTTGATATGGAATCTACATTTCAAGCTGTTCTGTCTCTGAAAGAAAAAAAAGTATTGCTGCAGTTGTGAGGCTCTCCTGTTCCTCTTAAGTATTAAACTCCTGCCCCAACTTTCTAGATTAAAATTTGAATAAGAATGGATTCTTCTCTGAACAACTCTGCTGTTTG